AATTTTATGTCTTATAGGATTTATACTGAGTTCAATATTGTATAACTGTATTAATTCAACTGTGAACCTAAAAATTTACAGCCACTTTTGAAAGAGATGTATCCTTGCTCTGGAGTGTGTTACTGAATATGTTAAAGCTGTAATGAAATGCTTCTTCTAATCATGTAGTTATTAAAAAATTTTTTTAAAAGGACAAAAGGCACACCAGGAATTATAAACCAATAGTATAGCTCCATAACCATATATGTGAGTATGGCTGGAGAAGGGGCCTTTCTATCAGAGTTGATGTGGTTAGAGGACATGCCTCAGGGGCAGGAGCTGGGAAGTTAGTTTGGGACTGTAATGAAATGCTTCTTCTAATCATGTAGTTATTAAAAAATTTTTTTAAAAGGACAAAAGGCACACCAGGAATTATAAACCAATAGTATAGCTCCATAACCATATATGTGAGTATGGCTGGAGAAGGGGCCTTTCTATCAGAGTTGATGTGGTTAGAGGACATGCCTCAGGGGCAGGAGCTGGGAAGTTAGTTTGGGACTATAGCTAAAACCTAGAGATGTGGGAGTAACAGCACAGGTAAGGGAAAAGGCAGGTGGAAACTGGGTCCTCCTTGACTGTGCTGGGCTCCGCAGGAGCAGTCTTTAGCTGGAGACTCGGGGTCCTAGGAGCACTAAGACTTTGTGGAGCACTGTGTCTGTGTAATGGAGAAAAAGTCCATGGAACACTGGTCATTGCCACCCAGGATAACTAAACCACAGGTCCCTGCAAAAACACAACTTCACACAAAGGTTAAGAGAGGGAGTTAAGCACCACAAGACCCTACAGGTGTAGGACCGAAGGGACTGCCATCCCTAGCACAAGGCCACCAGAGCCCTGCCACAGGGAAGCTGGTTCTTGGTCTGTACATACCCCACCCTGGGGTGAAGGGCTAGGCTGATCTCCTGACTCCCTCAAGTGCAAGGTAAGTTGGAGCACCCGTGCTACTTATCTTGTGGGGCCTTTAAGGTCAGTGTAGCAAATACTCTTAATGAAAAAAAGAAAAAGAAAGGGAGGTGTCAAAAAAATAAAAAGGTGGGTTTTTTGGTTTGGGGGTTTGTTGTTGTTGTTGTTGTTGTTTATGATCCTCTGGCCAACAGATCTCAGAGAACTCTTCTGGAAAGGTAGGGCAGAGCAGGGCAGCTTATAGAGAGGTGAGTCAGACAAGATATTGCTTGGATGAGGCTCTGGTTAAGAGCAGCCTTGTCACCTCAGAATATCTGCAGTTGGCCTCAAGTGAGGAGGGAGCCCGAGCCCAGGATATGGGCCCAAAGAAAAGCCAAGAAGATGGGAGAGGTTGCCTGCCACACTTCATGGTTCATCTCGTAATCACTCGATTTGCTCACTGTGTTATTGGCCCTTGGACTTTCTGGAAGGGTTGGGGCCATATTCAGAAAAGGAACCTTATTCCCGTCTTCTAGTATAAGTGACAGCATTTGGAAATCACGTCTCCACAAAACCAGCAGTTTGAGTTTCACAACATTGCACACAAATTAGTCCTCAAAAAATCTCATTCAACATGAATGTCCCTGAGGCGTAATTTCATTGGGAATGATTCAGCTGTGTTGACTTACTGTTAAGTTGTTCCTTAGGGAAGTATTTTCCACATTTAAACTCCAATCACAGAACCTTGGCTCTCCCTGGGAGGGAGGCTTTGTCTCTCGGAGCAGCTAAGGTATCAGGGCAGCAGGGAGTGGGCTCTCAGGCAGAGGGAGCAGGGTGGGCACAAGTAAGTGTCCCTGTTAATCCTAGAAGGAACCTTGTAACTATTCTGCTGTTCTACTTTTGATCAAAGGCCCCAGGAAGAAGCAAAGTGGGAACAAATCCCTACACAAAAGATCTTTGAGTGGTTTTTCTGAAAGAAGGTGTGCTTTCAATTTATAGTGAATGAATACTAAGACATGTTGGTGAGGAGTGGTGATGAGGGTAGGCTGGGCAGGATAACAAGGACTCTGTTTGCAAACTAGATATAAAAGACTGGGAATTAGAAGCCTAGAGTTTGCTGCCTTTATTTTCTGGAAACCACAGAGACCCCAGCAATGTGAATGAAAGAACAGAGGGGAGAAATTATTATACTTGATATAGATTGCTTGTGGCCATCACAGCAGGGAGTATAGATGTAGGGACTTCATGGCTGGCTGGTGCTGGGGTAACCAGCTTGCCTAGGTTTGCCAGGAACTGTTTGGCTGTTAGAATTGAAAGACCCTAATCCTGGAAGATGCCCCAGTTCTGGGCAAAGGGATGGTTGATCATTCCAGGTGGCTTTCCAAGGACTGGGAAATTTGGGAGATCTGGGCAGATTCTGCCTACCAGGAACACAGGGACCCAGCCTTAACAGTTGTCCTCCAAGGAAAGGGATTTCTCTAAACCAACCAGAGATCTGAAACTTTGCTGTTTTGATTTTTGTTTCAAATTCTCCAAAGGTCCATAAAGCAGCAATCAGTTTTCAGCTCAGACATGAAACTAGACTAGACAGATGTATTTCTTTTCTAGTTCTGATAGCTCCATACTAATTGTTTTTCAGAAAGGATTTTCCAAAGAATGAATTCTAATGTTGATCATTTAAAAAAAAAAATTTTCTTATTAAGCAATTGCAAACCTTCCCTGCTAAGAAATTATATCAATATCTATATTTGCTGGAAAATTTCCTCACATGACACTGTTTGTTCCTAATGTATGTGCTACCCACTCTGAAATACTAAAACTTTTGTTCTCCTCCTTCTGATAGGTTTATATTAGTTATTTTGTTAGAAAATAAAACCAAGGACTAGAGAGATCACTCAGGGGTTAAGAGCACTGGCTGCTCTTGCAGAGGACCTGGATTCAGTTCCCAGAATCCACAATCTGATGCCCTCTTCTGACTTCTGTGGGCATCGCACAACACGAGTGCACTTGCATACATGCAGGCATAACATCATCTCTCCACAGAACACAGTGAAAACAGTCCCAATCAACCCGACTCCAGCAATCTAGAATTAGGAGGTCTATGGGCTCAAGGACAGAGTGGGTGTTCTGCTACACATTTTTGAGTATAAATCAGTCCTTCTGGGAAAAGTAGAGCTGAAAGGAGATTAGAGTCTTCTGAATTCTGACCCCAAATCCAGACACTGAGGGCTGGATGAGACGGGAGCTAACTTGGGCAAGATCACACATTAATCAGTGGTTAGAGAAATGATCTATCCTTGTTGGTAAGGAGCCCTCTGAATTTAGACTCTTGATCACAGAACAACCCACTCCGTTTTGGAAAGAGGGATAGACAGCTGCAAAGGGAGGGTCTCTGAGAATTCAGCTGATTAGGAAATGAGCTGGTAAGACCTTGGCTCCACAGGGAAGGCTGCCACCTTCTGGTTCCCCAGGACAAGGTAGGTTCCTATGGGCAGTTTGGGGTCTTTCCACACTTCAGCTACCAAAACAAGCTGTCATCCAGGCGAGTGACAGCCTCTCCCAGGAGAGCCTGAGGGCTGCAGCATGTTCCCACTCTGCAGAGGTGTTGTCTGCAGGACCGCCACCTTCTCTCCTCACCCTACCTGGGACCTCCAGGGTTCTATTCAGAGTGAGCCTGCTTTACTATGGCAGCAGACCACCAGGAACACGCCCATGCTCCACAGTGCTGCTTTCAGAAGGAGGACAATGGCCAGATAACAGAGCCAGTTTGAATATCTGTCCAAAGTGCACAAAACTAGGCTCCAACAAGGAGGGCAAGGGAGCATGATGGGAAAGAAGTCATGGTTGCAACAGTAGGTCTCTGCTTAAGGCACGCACATGCACGCTTGCACACACACACACACACACCACACTTTTGTATGATTCCTTAGCACCCTGAAATTCTTCATTTTTGAAATAATCTTTTTACTGAAAACACTGACTTTCTAGGTAGTCAAAAATGTGAGGTTTCACTGGAATTTATGATTGTATATAATTAATTCAGGAAGGAAGTGGCTTTGCTAGCACAGTATGGAAATCCACTGAGTGAGAGGACACGGCATCTACCTGCCAAGAGGCTGTTTCCTTCATCACTCAGAAGTGGACAAGGATCCATTCTGAGGTGAAGTCTGAGTGAAAGTCTCTGGTTGCTTAAGAAAGATGCTTTGGAGTGATCTTAACCATTGCCGCTGATCTTAGAAAAAAGGCTGAGAAGCTTTATTGGAAGATTAGAAACAAGGTGCAATTATAGAGAGTATCTCTTGATCTAAATCTTATGTTTGATAGAATTTTCACAATGCATAGAAATTACATGACAAATCCTGATCCTTTTCAGCAGAAATTCTACCCTCTCCCAAGTGACCCAGTGGGTGTTTGTCTCACACACCCAAGTGGACACTGGGGAGGAGCACCCTCCAGCCTCCATTGCACAATCATAAATTGTGTTGGGGCCAGCCTGGGTGTTTCTTGAAATCTCTTAAGTATCTGAATCATAAACAGAACTGATTGGGACCTTGGAAGCCACCTTTCCCAACCTCTTCCTTATATACAGTCCGAAACTGAAGCCCAGAGAGGTCAAGTGGCTTGCCCAAGGTCAATAAAATACTGCTTCTTTTTTTCCATCAGGACCCATGGGATATGTAGTAACTATCCCCTTGACTAATTAAAATCCTATCACAGGCATTGTTTTATGAGAAACAGCCCCACTGGGCCCAGTCAGCAATAAGTCTTTGGAGCTGTCTCAGGCTGCAGTTGCTTTATATAAACTATCCCTTTTATGGGAGTTGAAGCACAGTATGAAAAGGGTTTTTGTCTCATGTTGACCTTGTTTAGTCACATTAACGCACACATCAGTTCCAGGGCCCATTCCATTCTCCGAACATCTTCAGACACGCTGATAGTGTGAGCAGAGTTAGGCTGGGCTCACTCCTCAGGCAGGACCCACGTTCACTCCAAAGACCCTGGGTCCAGCAGCTGCTGCTCCCAGCCTGGGTGCTTCAACTCCAATCAGAACTTACCCACTGGAACCAGGGATACCGCCTGAGTCTAACCCCCGTGTCTATTTTCCAGAAAACAGGCAATGCTGTGAGAGCCATTGGAAGACTGTCCTCCATGGCAATGATCTCAGGGCTCAGTGGCAGGAAATCCTCGACAGGGTCACCGACCAGTCCGCTCAACGCAGAGAAACTAGAGTCTGAAGGTAAGGAGGCCAGGGTTTGCTCAGGCACTTACAAGAGAGGAAGGGTTGGGGACGGAGGAGCAGTTTAAGAATTTGGGGTTTGGTTTAAGTTCTTTAATACACTGTACAACTATAAATTCAGAAGGACGTTTGGGGTTTCCCTGACAACTACTAACTCTAGTAATTATTCTTTAATTGTTAAGTCTTAAGCTTAATTATTTTCAGAGGAAAAGCTATTATTTGTTTGATAGAACTAGATGATCAGCTATTCCTGTCCCCAAATTTGTATAAGACTTAAGAAAGCCTTTATTAAGGGATTTCTTTTTTCTTATTATAAAAATGAGATTTTTGTAGACAAAAATAAAATAAAAATCTCATATAGTTGATAACATTTTTAAAATACTTTTCCATTTTCTGCTATCTTTATGCTTTTGTTTTAAGCAAAAATTAATGCATACTAGCCACATTCCATGACTGTGTTTATGCTGCTGAAACACATGTGACCTGGACAGACTGGTCAGCAGGCCTCTCCCAGGACTGATAGGGGCTAGCTCCTTACCCCCACATGTGAGATGCTACCCTGACCATGTCTGCAGTGAAGGCTTAGGCCTCTTGGTGCTTTAGCCCTTATCTTCTTGAGGTGCTTCATTTGGCCGGACACCCCTCCTTCCCACTGCCTGGTGCTTTTGTTATCCACAGGCGAGAAAACAAGCCTGAATCCCTTTTGTACACAAGGTAGGGTACTGGCTTCCCTGGAGCTTCCTGTAGCCAGGCACAGAGTCACAGCACTGAAGAGAAGGGAGAGGATACAGGAGTTCCTCCAAGTAACTGCTTTTCCCTGGACCTATCCCACATCCTGGTCCACAGCCATGCAACATGAAGGCCTTATAGGCATGGAGAACAGAACTCTGGCAAGTTGCAGGTGCTCTAGAACTTTTTCAGGAGCAGATGATGGACCTGCTGTAGCACAAAGATCAGGAAAGCAGTGAGGTTCCCTCCTCAGACATCCTCAACCAAATCCTGAAGACCATGAAGTACAGCCAAAAATCCTTTTTAAAGATGACTTCCTTTTTCAATGTGTCAGCATCAGGGAAGGGGGAGTCTGAACAGTTCCCCATTTTGGGCACAGTGCTCTCTGCTGCCAAAAACCATTTGGCAGTAGGCCAATTCAGCCCCAGGAGAAAGGCGTACTATGATTCACTTCCCTAAGCTGCACTATTTGCTCAATTATAGCAACTTAAAAAAAGGGGGTGGGCTTTTAAACTAGGGGAGAGAACAGGGAATGAAGAAATGACCCGGTCCTCTCTTGATCTTCTAGACGATGTCTCCCAGGCTTTCCTTGAGGCTGTTGCTGAGGAAAAGCCCCATGTAAAGCCCTATTTTTCAAAGACCATTCGTGATCTGGAAGTTGTGGAGGGAAGTGCTGCTAGATTTGACTGCAAAATTGAAGGTAAGCTACAGCTGGGCTCTCTTCACTATTCATAGGGATGGCTACACAGCCGGACCCTGGACGAGATGTCAGGCCTGTACTGCTGGAGTGATAGGATTAGCCAGACCCAAAGCGACATTAGATCAGCAGGAGATGGTCCAAAAGGGCCAAGCCCCTGTTCTCACAACCTCCTGAAGAATAGTGCTCCTCAGTGACTTTTCCACAAGAACAGCTGATATTCCACCTAGTCACATCAGCCACTAGATACACATTAAAAATGGACTGCCGTGAACCTCCCTAGCTATGGAACAAGGGTTTTGCAAGCCACTGAGAAGCATGTGGGTTACCCACAAGAGAATCTGGAAGGAAGATTGACACAAAGGGCCAGTGATGGGAGATGGCCAACTCAGCTGCTTATCAGCAGGCTATGAGCCCTTGAGCAGTGAGTGACCTAATGCTGCTGAGTGGAGGCCCATTGTTTGCAAAATCATATCCAATACCTGGAGTGGTCCTAGAGCTTCTGTAAAGCCACCCCTATAAAAGGGTAAAATCTGATAAGTCTTTTAAAGAGGTTTTGGAGTAAAGAGAAAAAATGGTGAGTAGAGGGGGCGGGGCTGGAGAGATGGCTCAGTGGTTAAGAGCACTGGCTATTCTTACAGAAGACCCAGCACCCACATGGCAGCTAACAACTGTCCATAACTCCAGTTCCAGGGGATCATCACATCCTCTTCTGTCTTCTGCAGGTATTACACGACATGGGTGTTCTTGCATACATGCTTGCAATACATGCATACACATAAAATAAAGCAAAAATAAGAACAGTAACAGTAAGAATAGTTTAGGACCTCAGCACATGGGACCAAGCCTTCAACTTGTGCCCTATTCCTTGTGCAGTGTCTCTGTTCCCCAGGAATAATGCAGCCTCAGAGAACAGACCTTAGGGATCGTACCCTGGAACCCAAGAAAGAACAAAGTTGGTGACAAAGCCTTTCTGTTTCCACAGATTGCAACATTCTGGAAAGATAAGGGGTGGGTTAAGACAGGCCTTTTGCTTCAAAGCTGTGACTTGCATGTGCCAACAGAACAGAGGGTTATCTTCTATCCTGGTCTGACCAAATAAAGCATAAAAGTATATTCAGCAGCTTCCCCCAAGGCCATGAGGCCAGCACGGAGGTCAGAGCCTCATACCTTTGGTGACCCTCAAGCACAGGACTCCAATGCCTTTGAATTAAGTAACCCAGTGTTAGGAGAAACAATCTTTCCCTTTTCTCATCTGATTTTTTTTAAGTAGATATTTTTATAAGAAAACAGAGAGTGGCAGGTTCAGGAAAGAAGCTGACATGAACATGAAATTACCCTCCAAAGTAAGCTTTACGTGCTGGGGAGGTAGCTCAGTCGTAGAGCATGCTTAGCATGCATGAGGCTCTGAGTTCCAGCCCCAACACCATAAAACCATACTGACAAGAACAAGCTTTATTAGGAAAGAGGGCCTCACTGACATGGGGGCCATGACCTGACCTTGAGGTGGGAGAGCTATTAGGAGCATTTTGAGAACATTAGGAGAAAGAGCTTAAGGTAAGAGTGGGAAACAGCTGTCATGGACAGCATGGCGGAGGACCAGGCCAAGGAATCCCCTGAACAAAGGAGATATCTGACTTTTACAAGTTTGGGGGTGGAATTCTACCACATGTGATTTAGTCCCGTCTTATCTATGTGACTCTATGCATGGAGCCAGATACTGGGTAGGACCAAAAATTTCGGCAGCTTTAAGGGGAAAGGGCTGTAAGGCCACAGTACAGCACAACTTCTTAACTTGAGGAGAGGAACAGGAGAGAGAGACAGAGCACACACATATGGACACACACACACACACACACATGCACAAGCTGTAGGGGCCATGGACTGATTTCTCCAGGCTGTCAGATCAAGTCTCTTAGAGTGGCAAGCTTATTCAAATGGCAGACCCATGATCGAACAGATGTGCTACCTGTGGTGATGGGGAAGCCCCAGGTTTGGGAAGTCTGCTAAAAGCTCTGGAGCCAGGCCTGCTGAGCACTCAGACCCTCACATGGTCTTTGCATCTTCCAAGGTTACTCCTTCTTTCTTTTCCAATTTTGAAATATTTGTTATGATATAGTGATTATCATCTGTTGTGTTTTTCTCTTTGAGATTATCTCCTTGGTATTTGCATAACTTCTGACTGAAGCCCTGATTAAAAATTAAAGCATATGGATGCTGTTTTCGTAAAAACAAAATTACACTTGAAAAAATGGTAGAATTCTTGAGTTTTGTGTAGAATTTTTATTATGCTTTAGGCTACAACTTTTTTCATCTAAAAATACTTCTGCAAAATTTAGGACAAGTCAGTTGTAATATGTTACATATAAAACACATATAGGCAATGTTGGTGACAGACGTATATATACACACCTTTAAAATATATAATACGCATGTATTTATGTGTTTGCATTTCATATATTTTTAAAATATTTTTTAAATTTATTTTTTACAATTAAAGTTACAGTTTTGGATGTAAGTGCACCCTCGTTAACACAATATCTGCAGAGGCCAGAAGAGGGTGTCAGGTCCCCTGGAACTGGAGTTACAGATGGTTGTTAGCTGACATGTGGGTGCTGGG